ACACACACACACACACACACACACACACACGCGCGCACACACACAAAACCGCACTCAAGCACGTGTACGTTCTATTCGCATCTCAATCATAAAAAAGCGATCTCCTTTTTAAAAAAAGTTTACAACCGAAGCTGTTCATTATTTACTATTACTAATAGTGGATTCCATACCTAGCATTAAAGAAATGTATAGATATAGATAACGAAAAAAAAAAGTTTACTGAAGGGAACGAGACATTGCTTGCTGATGTTAAAAGAGACCATAGATAGTACGTAGAGCTAAAATCATGAACGGTATAGGTCGGTACACACACCTATTTATTATTCCATTTTCTCTGGAATCTTTCTCAGTAATGCTGTAGCTAATTAATTAAATGTGATCACATGAGCAAGAAAGATGAATGTCCCATATATTTTAATAAGACATAATTGATACATTACAGTGAAAACTGTTCTAACGGCCACATGTATAAAAGTATCACCTCCACAAACGGCTTTACTTTCCATTTCTCCCCTTGCCATTTTTTTTTTGTCAGGGGGGGTCGGGGATTATATCATATTATAATGATGCCGTGTAAGAAATCTATCTATCTAAGAAGGCCACTTTTCCCCTCGGCAATGGTGGCTCGTCTTAGAAAGTTTCGACTGTACTTTTCTAGATGCATTGAACCGATCCGAATTTTGAGTGAAAAATAGACACGGGTAGAAAGTAAATATCTTCACCGGTCAATGGAATGTGAAGTCGCGGCACTCAGGCGTTTCAGCCATGGGTGACGCTAGCTATCTCTGGAAAGGGCCCTTGCGTCACGGTTGTTATTAGGAGATTCCAAGTCACGAACTCAATTCAAAACGCTTGCAACAGTTGAGCCAGCTAGGCCTTATGAAGTTGGGGCGTGGCGAATTAGTGAGATAAATATCAGTCACGTGTTGATGAAGCTTTGGTTGTTTTTATTCTTTAAAAAAAAAAAATCTTGTTAAGAGTTCTAACCAACGCTCGTGCACACAGTCGCCCACGCACTCACGGACACACTACATGCACCATATACCTCTGCAAAAAAGACGCCAGACTTCTCTCTCTCTCTCTCTCTCTCTCTCGCA